ATGGACATCAAATCACCATAATAACACCACAACAAAAGAGAGCACAGTTCCAGAACCTCCAAACACCATGAGGCTTCTGCCTACCTCCTCCAGCGCCTGGAGTTTCAATGGCTTTCTTGATTTTCTCCTGATCTTCCCACCGAAGCTCAGGGAAGCCGTCAATGTCTGTGTGGGACACAATTCGAGCCCGCTTCCAGAAGCAGCTGTAGTGGTGCCAGTGAGGGACTTTGCCATCAAACATGGGTGACTAGCAAAAAAGCATATTAGGCTAAGATGAAACAATTCAAGCAGAATCAAGGGGAAAACCAAAACAAAACAAAGCCCAAGATAAAAAGGAGCAGCTGGGTAAACACACGTGATTTTTTGTTTTTATTTTTCTTTGAATCCAGAGATGAATACTATTTAGGACGAAGTCTAAGAAGAAAATCTAATAAGACAGACAAGCTGCTGGAGAGATGCTCCCAAAGGGGATAGACATGGAAGGAGCATTTAGCTAGCTTAACCAGTTCATCATCCTGCTGCTCAACCCATCTGTTTTACTGAAAAATAAAGGTCATAACCTCAGCATGGCTGCACCAGCCCCTGTGAGACTGTGTAGCACAAGAGGCTGCTGGCCTCACTTCACAATCCCTTTGAGAGCCACTTCTCAATCAGTCTATATACTGGAGAACCCATGGCAGGCACAAGATAAGAAGGGCAGCTTCAAGAATTGTGGCCTGAGGAAACTCCTGAGTGGCCTGCAGGAGGCAGAGACAAAATTCAATGGAAACACCGGAGCCCAATTAAAGTTCTGCATCAGAAGTCAACAGCAGGCCACAAAGATGATCAGAGGGTCAAAGAACCTCTGCTGAGACAGGCTGAGAGAGTTTGGGATGTTCAGCCTGCAGAAGGCTCCAGAGCTGTTTTATAGCACTTTCAATACCTGAAACAGGCCTACAAGAAAGGTGGAGAGGGAGTTTTCACAAGGACTTGTAGCGACAGGGTGGTGAGGCACTGGGAAAGGTTGCCCAGAGAAGCTGTGGATGACTCATCCCTGGAAGTGCTCAAGGCCAGGTTGGATGGGGCTCTTAACAACCTGATCTAGTTGGGGGCATCCCTGCCCACTGCAGGAGTTTGGAACTGGATGATCTTCAGGGCCCCTTTCAGACCAAACTATTCCATGACCCTGTGATCAGAACAGAAGCACCACCCAAGTCCTCCCTGAAGCACAGCTCCAGAGTGCCCTGCCCCACACCAAGCACTTGTTTTGCAAGTACCCAACTTGTTTAAAACTCAGACACAGCAGGTACCATCTTGGCATTGCTCCAGTTACCCACCAGGCAAAATAACCGTACAGTGGTTTGGCTCCAAATAACACACACAAACAGCTGCTGTACTAACAATACTCAGTGCTGTATAATTACTATTACTGATGATACAGAACTAACCACCTAAGAAAGCCTCCCACATGTCACTCACTAACAGGAAGGAGATCTCCAACCCAAAAACAACAGCAGAGCTTTGTGCATGAGGAGGAAGGAAAAGGAAAGGGCTTTGAGGACCACAGCATGGAACCAGGAGAGCTGAGAGCCCAAACTACAACCAACCATCTACCCAAACTGTAAGAGGACATTTTTATTTCCAGATGGGCTCTTCCCACAAGCCAGGACTGGATACCCAGTTACCCTCACAGCACCACAGCAGCCACCCTGCAGTCGCTCTCAATGTGTCTCTAAGTCACATGCGATTTTGGCACTGCAATGTGGACACCTCTGGGTTTTGTCTAGAGTTTTGCAGGAGGACTCAGGCCTGTTCCCAGCACAAAGGCCTTGAGGGCACAAGGCACTGAGGAGAACAAAAGTGAGTAGAGCTAGCTCAATCTTTAAGGCAACAATAAGGGAGTAAACTCAACATGGAGTTTCAGACTCTTCTCTGTGTGGAAAATGAAACCTCTAGGCAAGCTGGGCCTTGTTTAAACAACTTCTCTCAGCTCACCTATCTCTAGATCATAGTTTCCTAAACAAACTAAGGAAAAAAGAGACCGATTCACTTTCATAGTGCACGTTCAGATAACAGAAACAACTCAGTTCCAGCTGGAAGCAAAAGACAAAGCTTGTGCTGGTGCTGCAGGGCCTGGGTGCCTGCCTAGCACCCAGAATCTCACTGTCATTCAGAGCACTTCACTTGAGGAACCAAAACAAAAGGGAAGTTACAGCAGACACAACTAAGGCCTTGGTCTGTATCTCTCTTTAATTTCTTCAGCACAATTTGCAGAAGAGCTCAATGCACTGACGCTGGCACAGAGGCTGCTCTGCAGGGGATTTCCCGAGGAAAAAGCAGGGGACCCGTGTGCTCTGGTGAAATTCAGGCATTTACAGCGGGATGCTCAGCAGCAGGATGTGCTCTGCTGGTACAAGAACTAGCAGAGGGCAGAGGGAAGAGCAAGCAAATTCAAGAGGTTGTGGGGAAAATAAATAAAAATACAAGTGTTTGGTGTGAGACCGCCAGTTTTGGGGATATGTCTGGCAATGAAAGGCAGTGGCTCTGAGAGGAATGTCGGTCCCCAGGAGCTCACTCCATAAACCGAACCCTAGAGAACCAGAACACAACTCCTGCCCCCCGTACTGGTGAAGGGCAACCAGCCTCGCATCAGCCCCAACTACTGGGCAAGACAGGAAGGAGTAACAAACGTGAGGAAGCCGAGGAGCAGCAGCCGGAGCAGGGGAGGAGGAAAAGGAAAGGGGCTGAGTGCAGCGGGGGAGACAAAAGGACAGGCAGCAGGACCACGTGCGAGCAAACGCTGCAGCTCGGCACCGCACGGTCCCGCATCTTCCCCAGGGGGAGGAGGCTCTGGGGAACAAAGGCAGAGGCAGGTATTTCCCCTCCGGGACAGCAGCTTTGCCTCCAACCCCGGCAGACCTGCCAGCCCCGCCCGGGCTGGCGAGGAGGGACCGGGCCCTTTCTCCCCGCCCCGCACAAGCCTTGTGCCCAGAGGCACAAGCGAGCTACATCCTCCAAACCCGGCTCCTCAGGCGGCCGGGAGCCACAGCATCCATCCATCCATCCATCCATCCATCCCTCCACCCATCTATCCGCAGGGCTTTGCGCTGCCACGTCCTTGCTCGCCTTCTGCAGACACACACGTATGCCTTTGCTAACCTTTCACAGCAACACCCCCAAACTCAGCCCGCCCCCAGCACGCTGCAGGCGCACCCTCCCCTCTGCCCTGATGCAGCCAGCGGGGACAGAGTCCCCCCTCCCCAGATAGCGGCGTGTGCCTCCCGCACGGAGCGGCGATTCCCTCCGCATCCTTCCGCAGCAGGCTGTGATGCCGGGTCCGCGCACAGCTCCCAGCCCCCAACAGGATGGGGCTCTTCCCTTCCTTCCAAAAGTAAGCCGAGCAGTCTCTTCCCCGAAAGGCAAATAACAGCATGCGGGCGGCGGAGAGCAAAGCGTGCCTCCGCAGCGCGTTCGCCTTCAGCTGTCTCACGCCTGCCATGTGCCAGCCAGCTCAGCGAGACCCCCGGGCCCGGCCGCTCATGCCGCGGCCCCGGGGGCTGCCCCACACCTCTCACAGCTGCCGGGCCGCAGTTCCTCTGTCTCGTAGGCAAAGCGCGCACCGAGCGGGGATTCCCCGGCCGACACCGCGGAGCTCGCCTGGCCCCTCGGACGGCAACAAAGCGCCTCTGTGCGCGCCCGCGGGCCGCCCCCCGGCCCCGCCACAGCCACGAACGGTGATCTTTGCACCGCTTCGGCTCAGCCGCCCCTGCAGCCTGCGGGAGCGGGGGAAGCGGCTCCCCCCGCCCGGGAGCGCTGCGGACAGGGCTGCCCCGGGCACCGGCGCTGCTGCGGACACACTGCGCCTCTGTTAAAACTAGGCTGCGCTCGCCCCCGCAGCAGCCAAAGGCTCGGCCGAGCGGCTCCGGAACACCGCGGCGGCCGGAGGGAGCGGAGTCCCGCGCTGGCCCCGCCGCCGGCGGTACCGAGCGGATCGGCCGGATCAGCCCGCCCCCCGCCCGCGGCGGCCCCGCCACGCGGTACCTGCACCATGAGCGCCAGGCGCAGCGAGTCCTTGGCGATGCTCTCGCCGCACTTCTTGCAGGAGGCGCGGCCGCTCTTGGCATACTCGGCCCGGTACAGCTTCTCCGCCGGCTCCGCCATCGCCGCCGCTCCCGCTCCCGCCGCCGCGCCCCGCCCCGCGCCGCGCCGCGCCGCGCGCCCGCCGCGACCCCGCCCCGCGCGCCCGCCGCGACCCCGCCCGCGGCAGCGCCAGCCGAACGCCGAGCCCGCACCATGCCTCGCCGGCCGGGCGGATCGTCCGCTCGGGCATCGATTGCACATGTCTGGAGGTTCCTCTTGTGTATCAATGGGAGGCGGGCGCGGCGGCGCGTCCCGTGCTGCGCCCTCAGGGCCGCGGTTCGGGTCCCGCCGCCACCCCGCGCCCCTGTCCCGCCCCCGAGCGACACAGAGCGGGCTCCCGCCTCTTGGGAGAGCCTGAACTCAGCAGCTCTCCCGCAGACAAATACTGGCCTCGTGATGCCATTTCCAGGCGGGCGTTCCGGTGGTGCCCAGCGACAGGACGAGGAGCGATGGCCGTAAACACGAGACTCCCCCCCCCCCCCCGCCATGAGCAAGAAGTGCTTTACATGAGGGTGGCAGAGCACTGGAAAAGCTGCGCAGGGAGGCCGGAGTTCTTCTCTGCAGAGAGCCAAAACCCACCCGACCCGCTCCTGTGTCACCTGCTCCGGGTGACCCTGCCTGGGCATGGGGCTGGACTGGTGATCTCCAAAGGTCCCTTCCAACCTTGACAATTCTGTCATTCTGTTTTCTCCAGCCCCTGGGGATAACAGTGGGGCTGCTGACGAAATCAAAGAAGAGCGCTTTGATAAATTAAATCTGGATTTTTTTTTTTCCTACTCACAGTAGATAATTATCCTCTACTATCAGCAGAGGGCATTGGCTCTGCAGCTTCCCTGAAGGAAGGTAGAGGAGAACACTGAAGTTACTCCAAACCCAAGTATTTGTCATTAATTTTATAGAGATTCTGAAATTAGGGTTCAACTGAGGCAGCATGTGCAGCCTGGGTGGGCTTCAGGCAGCTTGCAGGTGTCACTCAGAGCTGCACATCAGCATCTCAGCACTGAGATGCTGACACACCTTTTATCCTGTGCTGTCCTTCTCCAGGCTCTCACATGTGTGCTGTGCAGGGTTTGACTTCAGTGCAAGCCCCCCACCAGCCTGGGGCTATCGGCGTGCCCGGGAGGACAGGATGGGTCCTGGGTACATCACTGCGGATTTGGGGAAGGACGAAAAGCAATCTCTGCGACGCACTAGATGGTGCTGCGAGCACACAGACAGCCGGGTGCTCCACACAGCAGAATCTTCGCTCTTGCTGATCACTCCTTCCAGGAGTTCCTGGCCCAGACACCAGTGGTTCAGAGACAGATCAGTTTGGTCCCACCCTGCGGAAAAGTGGGGAGAAAACACAGGAGAGTTCATCTGGATGACATGGTGGCTTGTCCATCACTCTACTTGGTGTGTTTACCAAGGGGTTTGCCCTCTTTGAAGGTGACCAGCAGAGATGTATGGAGTGGCATTCACCCCTTTCAACAGAACTGCTGCCACCCTACTCCATCCAAGGGCATCCAGGAGGAAAGCAAACAAACAATTAAGGGTTGACTGGGAGGAGTGAAGTCAATGGCTCTTTAACCCTGATCCTGCCTCTGTGAGGAGCTGACATAACAAAGGCCAAACAACCACTACTTGAGCTTCCAAATATTTCCCAGCCTTGTGAGATTTGTGGCTTGGGGATTTCCTGCATGCCATTATCCTGGGGGGAATTTTTCTTCCAAGGAATTGTCCAGTTTCTCTGAAAAAACTCTTTTGTTTATATGTTATTTATTTCTAGTGTTTGAGCAAAAGAGAAAGGAGTGCTTGTTAGTGTTTCCTCTGGCTGGGGCCACTTTCACTCCTAAGAAAGGCAGCCCTGTCCAAACACTAAAACGCTGCTCTGCAGCCAGCAGTCTAGACACTTGCAGAGGATCTGTAAGATGTCATGAAGTGCAGTACACAGACATTCACAGGCTTGCAAGCATGAAAACAAGCAAAGAAAGTGACTGTAACAAATGGCTGTTCTAAGCTTAACCTTGTTTTTTTTCCAGTTATGAGAGCATACTACATTAACACTAGTCCAAATGGGGTTTAGTGGATTTTCTTTTTTGAAAGGATCAGGCTCAAAGCTCTGGGCAATTAACCCTTTCAGCCTTACTTGAGAATTCCACAGGAGTTTATCTGGCCACAACCTGTGTGTTACTTTGAAACAGGAACGTCTAAATAGCAGGAATTACATTGTTATGGTTCTTCTTATTGCAGTGTAATTTCCTCTGTAGGCTAAGTGTCATCCTGATTTGTGGTGTCAAGAGTTGCCAAATCATGTTAGTCCCATCAGTCTATTGATCTCAGCAGAGCTGCCTTGCTCTCTGTCTTCCCAAGTGTGACATGTGGATCACAGCACATCCCTTCCACTCTCCCAGGGCCGTGGGGGACCAGTGAGTCAGTGCTAACAAACAGCACCAAGTTTTGTTACAAAACAGGGAATGCTTTGGCAGAAGCTGAGAGAAGTGGCATCTGCAAGGCCACTTTTCTGGGGAATCATCATCCTTTTAAGTAAATCCAGTTTTTCCACAGCCCTCATATTTAGCTGCTGGGTTTTACCAGAGCCTGCAGGCAGCAGGAGCAAGGACAGTTAAAGAGAGAAAGATCTTTGTGACCCCTCACATCCCTTTCTAACAATATTCCCATCTCAGTGGACTGATGACTTCTGGGATCCTGTTGGATGACGAGTTCTGCGCCAATGTGTGAGGCCAATGGTTTGTTTTTCCTCTCTGTGACCAAAGTAGAACTCATGGTTATCCTCATAAGTGTTTTGATTATCTCCATATACTGACACTGAGATGCCAAACTTGCTGCTGGTGCTTACAGATTATCACTTCCCAGTGTCCAGCCCAAATCTCACACATGCCCCTGGGCTCCCACAGCTCACCATGCTGCAGACAGGAGCATAGGTGAGGAAGGGGGTGTAATCAAAAGGTCTGCTGTGCAGGCTTCATCATAAATGTCAGGATATTTGGAATTTTCTTAAAGCCTCTGTTTCTGCAATCTCACCCCTAGGATGCCCCTAGAGAACAGCAGTTTCTGTTCTCCAGAGGCAAAGCACACAGAAAGAGTAAAGAACGGTCCAAGAAACCCCAGCTATGGCAGTTTTGAGTGTCTCAGACTGTGAAATTCAGTGTCAAGCATTCAGGTGCCTGGCTTGCGACTTCAGGACACCACAAAGAATTAAATTTTCTTTTCTGGACAATTTTGCATTATATTCCTCTGAAAGGCAGAGGGAAGTAGGTCAAACTCTGGCACCAGGAAGACATAAGTTATCTCTTCAGTGTCACAGGACCAAATGCTTCCCCTCAGATTGTGCTGACAGAACACTGAGCACTAAATCTTCCAGACTGTCTTGCTTTGGGCTCCATTTCTCACACATGCTTGAGATGTCTCCCTGCAAGATTTCCACCCTGCTACACATCTTACAAAAGGTGAGAAAATGTTGGACATATACAGGGAAGACGATCGCTTACAGCCTGTAGGGGAGTCAGAACTGTTCTTGCTCAAGCCTGGATTTGTTGCTACAGGAGACTTTGTATTATCTGGTTTTGATATCTGATAGCTTGAGAGTTTTGTAACAAAACACCCTTCAGTGCTAGGTTATCCTGTCTGTGTTGATGACCCACTTTTTCATGCCACTGCACATAATCAGTGTGGCTGGGATGACCCTGTTTGCCTCCAGGCAGGAGCTGCAGGCAACCACTGCTGTGGCTCAGCTGTGCCTTCTTGCTCATGCAAGTGATCATCCCGCTGGCATCCCTGAGACTACACCAGTGAGAAAGGGATGTGAGATCGTGCACCCCCCATCTAACTGAGAATCTTACTGTCTTTTCTTTCCATGGAATAAATCAGAGGGCTTATTGTTCTGTCTGGGGGATCTAAAATATGTTTGAATAGCTCAATAACTTCCCATGGTTCCTCTCTCCTGGGTGATCATTAACATATGCAATCTCTTTGGCTTTATTTAGAATTTAGAATTTACTTAGAATTTAGAGTGCTCCTGCTGGGGTGCCCAGAGCTGGCCTCCTTCTCAGTCCCCCTAAATAATTTTGCATTACAGACCAGCACAGAGGTCTGTGTGAAGCAGCTCTGGTGGTTCCTCTTTTCTTTAGAAAGGTCCCTTAAATAAGCCATTTTTTTCAGCTTTCCAGATGCCCAGGAAAGTAGATGTAGGAAGAGACAAGGGAGGAGGAGCAACAGCATTTCAGACTGCCTGGGAACATGACTGAGTACCTTTCTTTCAGTAAATTCAGTGGTGTGACTACATATCCCGAGTCTAGGGAAGATAATATTCCAAAGCCAGTGGCAGAGCCAAGTGCAGCCGCAGTACTTGCCACAGTTAGTACCTGGGTGCTTGCCAGGATTTGAGGTTGTTCACCCTGACATTATCTCCACACAGGAAAGGCCCTTATCCCTGTTTTACTGTCCCCATGTGGCAACAGAGACACAAATCATTATGCAATGAAATTAGAGAGTGGGAAATTAAAAAAAGGGTAAAAGGAGATTTGTTTTCATGGCAAGTTAATTAAACTAGAGCCTACAGCCAAAGGCAGATGTTGTGGCAAAGTAATGCTGAAAGGAATTGTTTAGAGTTCTCCTAATTGCAGATGTTAAAAGGGACATAAAACAGTGAACTTTGGAGATAAAGTCCATACCTAATTTATGATGACAGTGAGGAGACATAACTTGAGGAAGAGATGATCTTCAGTCTCACCATGGCTCCTTCACTTGAAATGCTCAGCCCAGTGAGCTGGAGAGAGAGGAGCACCTGCCATGGGCAGCTGTGGTCCATTCTTGATTTCTGCTATCTGCCAACAAGAATGAAAAATCACACCCAAGGGAAAAGCAGAGTCTCCAAAACCCTGAGCTAATCCCACAGCCATTCAGTCAGCCTTTGGCAGAGTTTGTGAGAAATTATGGCAAACTCCCTCAAGGGCTACCTGGCTACCTTTTTTTGTGTCAATGCTGCCTGTTAGCTTGTTCTCCCACCTGTGTTCCCAAGCATCATCTTTCCCCTTTGTAGTGCAGTGGGGCTGTTAATTATCCTGCCTGTGTGGATGCCACTTGTAAAAGGCTCTGCTGCCAAAGGAAGGAGGCACCAGCTGCAGCACTGAAAATGTTCAAGAGCAGAAACAAGGAGAGAGATTTGGAAAGTTCATGCTCAGAGACCTGTGTGTGCCAATCCCAAGCTACAGCCTTATGGATGAGTTTAATTAAGGATGGCAGCTTCCTCATCTGAAGTTGTAATCCCAAATACATGTTGTCTCCACATAGGCTCAAAGCCAAGCTGTGACTCCTGACTAGAGCACCCCAAGGCAGATGACCACATCCCTGGGGGAGCAGATACCTTCCCTACCTGTGCTTCAGTCTGGGTATCCTCTGGCCCAGAAGAGCTGCCAAAATACATATTGGGCATCACAAGATACCAGCTGGAGAGTTTGCATATGGTTCCAGTTTGGGTCCTTGAAAATGAATAAAGAAAAGTAAATCAGAAGAGCCAGAGGGCTAAAAGGCACAGAGTGGCCAATGAAACTCTCAGTAACATTGTGCTATTGGGGTACAGAAGAAAATGACATTTCTGCAGTCCCGTGAGTGCTTTGTGGTAGTTTGAGGCTGCACAGGCCCTTTGCAGAGATACCACAACCTCTGAAACAAATCCACTTTTGAAATGGGGATTTCTTACAGCATTCTGTTAAAGAGCAGTGAAACTGCACAGGGAAATGAAACATGTCCATCAAGTGACCCACTAGTCCCCATAATTTATCCAAAATCTAAATCCCATCTGATTTTGATGGACACAGGCAGCTGAGACCTTGCTTTCCTGGTGCAGCTGGAAGCAGACTTTGCTTGTACTCACACTGGCTCTTTTTGTCAGGCCTGAGGCATTTGCCTGTGCTCTTCAGCTCTGCCCAGGTGAGCAGCAGGATGTTTTTTCTGGTTTTTGAGTGTCCATTATGTGACTGATTCCAGTAATTCATTAAGTGCAACAAATGAGTGGTGACAGTGGAGGCTACACTACCCTATAATTCATCTCCCTTGCCTCTTGATGAGCAGGTTTCCTGTTACACTGGGCAGACCTGTCCTCATCACTCTCTTACAGGCTCTCTCTCATTCTTAGTTGCCTTCACACAGAAATGTGTCCAGTCCCAGAAGCTGTAAATGCCCTCTTTCCTCAATTGCCAAATATCTGCATGGTACTACTTGCCTTTAGACCCCTGGGTTTAGCTAAGAGCTCAGCAGTGGTTACACTATTTGGAAGTGCTAAATATTTCTACCTGAGTCATAACTTGCAAAAAAAGTCAATCTAGCTCCTCTGTAACCCATTGCTTTTAGAAAACTCTGAACTGCTTGTAACTGCCATAATGAGGAGCACCGACCACTTACCTAATAAAATTTGCTTTTTGAAGTATTTCTCAGCTCTATTACAAGCACACAACTTCATGACAATAAGTATCTCTGAGTGTGGATTTTATATTGGCAGTCTTCTTTTGAAGTGTACGTTCATGATGGGGAATCTTAGTTGTTCTTTGTGACTAATTACTGTTAGGGGATATCCTGATTAAATGACAATTGGTTTCTTTGTGCTAATAAAAATACATTTTTAAGGACATCTGATGCATTCAAAAATATGCAAAATACTCAGTCCCTAATCCAGGTAGCTCTCATGTATTCAGGTTTCTGATTCTAAAGACCCCTTTTACACTATGAATGGCAGAGAGGGAAGGCTGGCAGCAGAACCCAGGAGCCCTGAGTCTGCTCTCCTCATCCTGGAGACCAGTGTCAACACTGAGCACACACACTCCAGTTGCTCAAATTAGAGCAAACCAGCTACAATCAGATGCACTTTATTTGCACTGTTTGTAGACAAACTATGCATAAAACACACCACAGAGCAAAAGCACACCGGGCACTGGTAATAGATGGCATAAAATAAAGCAAGCAATGATAAAAGTGACTGCTTGATAAACACACCAGCCCAGCCAAAGGCAACACATTTCAGAGGAAGGTGATTGTTTCCAGTAAAGCTGCAGCAATCTCTCCAGCTACCAAATGAACTTTACAGAGGATTAGTGGTGCTGGAAACTGGAGTCCTCTTTTCACCCAGAGAAAAGCTGCACAAGGGCAGTACAAGGCCAGGATTGCCACTAATACATCTTATTTCTGGGCACACTGACCTCTTGGCGGGGCTAGGAGGGGATGCACCTCTTTGCTGAGGTTGCAGGCAGGCAGAGCTGCTGAGAGGTGGAATGTCCCCTCCTGTGAGAGAGCTGAGACCAGGCACACACCTGGGGAGGGATTAGCACACATTCAGCTGCTGCCAGCTGATTTTAGGCACAATCAACTTTCAATTACCTGCAGTGAGCTTAAATGCCCCTGACTTTCCCCAGCACTGCTGGCCATGGTTCAGTGCTATGGAGAATGATGTAGAGGACAAGCAACTCTTGCCCTCCTTGACGTGCTGGCTGCTACTGCAGAGAAACTGCCTTTGGCATTTCCCGGAGCAGAAGGCTCCAAGTTTGCTCAGCAGGTCTCATCCCTGCTTTAGCTCTGCCTGAATATGGGAGTTATTCTCACCTGCCCCAGGGTCAGCTTTGGCAGAGGCCTCATTGCTATTCTCAGCCTCCTCTGGCCTCATCACCTCTGCTGATCCCACGGTCTACAGTTACTTTCACAAACTGCTTTTGGCAAGAGCTGTCCTCCTTTACAGTGTCAGCTAACTGCAGGGACCGGTAATCATCAATTTCACTGAAGAACCAGCAAATCAATGGCCTCTGGGAGAGATCCTGGAGTCCTGTGGTCTTCCTTCTATCAAGGCTGCAAGTGTAGCTGCTAATTTGTTCTTCTGTGCATGCCTATCTCAGTGGCTGCTCATTAAGTGAGACCCATCATCGTTACTGCTGATGGCAAGAAATGCTCAGACCCCCCACTGAACTGAGAGTCTCAAGGAATAAATGGGATATGATACAAACATTTTCAAACATTAAGAATTCAGTGACCAAAACCAGCAGGGAATGTGGATCAAGGAACTAGCATTTCCTAGCCAAGGGAAAGCATATCAAAATCAATTATCTGGGGCATAAAATAGTTGTGGCTCTCCCAAAGGAAAATACTGCTTAGTTTAATTGTTCTGAACTAGTGTTAATGAGTTATCATGAATCATATTTATGTTTATACTCCCAGGAATCAAAATAGACCAGAGTATGACACTGTATGCTTCTCAAGACAAAGCAGAAAAAAGGAAAATAAACATATAGCCACACTTTGGTTTCTACCAGCTTTCATATGGCGTAGCTTTCATACTGCTTCTCAATTTTTGGCCTCCTGATACCTCAGAGGTCAGAGCTTCTGAGGAGTCAGGAAAGCTCTGACTGAACTTTCAGCTGCTGAAACAGGCCCAGCCTAGTCCTGATGCAGGAATGTTTCTGAGCTTGCTCAAGTGCACGAGTCTGCTATGCCTGTCTGGAGTCAAACATACACTTAACAAGTCTGTAGGCTCCTTAAACGTGGCACACAGCACATATTTCCTTCCTAGCTGTGCACTACACAATATTTATCAAGGTAACTCCAGCGCCCAAAAGTGTGAGCTTCAGCAAGAGAACAGACTGACTACAGCTTTTCAGATATTTGAGAGTACAGTTTCCAAGGGACCTCTAACTCACAGTTCCTTAAGGTTTCCTGTTTCATGGACATCACTCTCATAATCCCACATTGCTGCCATTGCCATCAGGTGACCAATGCAGGCAGCCAAATTCAGAGCTGCCCTTGAAGTCTGAGTACAGTGACAGAATCGCAGCCTCTTACTCTGGATTTGGCTTTATCACACCTGCCAGTTTTAAAGGGGATCTGCATTCCTGAGGGGATCAGCACTTAACACCACATATCAAATCCACCTGGAAGGACAAAGAGACATCTAAAGTGTTGGGGCACTTACAGGGTTTTTCAAGAGAAATTTGGACAATTCATTTGGAAACATGTTTGGAGCAGTTTCCCTTTGGCTCCTCCTAGTGACAAATCTGGTCTGAATTCATCGATCTGTGCAAAGCTGTGATCCATGTTTGACTCTCAGATCAAACATGATTTTTGTACATTTTTTGATCCTCAGTGTACCAATAATCTGAGCCAGTAGCTCAGACTCAGCTGGAGTCATTATATCTGAAGTCTCAGTCTGGAAATGCATCCTGCAACTCTGCCCATCTTTTTTTCATGTGACACAAACTCTGTTAATTGGGAGTGTTTGGAGAAGATGGAGCCAGACCCTTTGGAGAGGTGTACAGCAGAAGGATGAATGGTGATAGATTTGAAACAAAGTAGAAGTTGTGGTTTGGATAAGAGGAAAAAAGGATTATCATAAGTGTGATGAAGCAATTGAACAGGGAGGTTGTGGGAATTCCATCCTTGGAGATAATTAAAAATTCAGGTGAATGAGGCCCTAAGCATCCTGCTGTTGCTGGACTAGATTTGACCAGAGGCCAGCAGTAGTCCCTTTCCATTCACCCAAGCCTCTTAGCAGCACATGGAAAAAAATGTAATGATTTCCACCTTTTTTTTTTTATTTAATGGAGCAACAATTCTTGTGTTCCTGGTGAAGAACTGAGGCAGTAATATGGCATTTGATATGCCACCAAGGATAAAGAGACATAAACTACATATAAACCTAGAGATCAAATCCTATCAGCTGAGCACATGCATTGAGCTTAATGGAATTTGAGGCTGTCCATCATTTTGTAATATCAGCTTTTAAGAAAGAGAACCAGCATGAGATTCTCTTCACACTAATGTGCGTGGCAAAATGCCCAGCAGGTTCAGTGAATGCAAGCAGGGGTGGATGCCTCAGTTTCCAAGCTCAGCATTGTGCTGGAGTCTGACAAAGATGTGTTCACAGTGCTTCACCCTATCCCTTTTTATAGCTAAAACCAGAAAGCCCTTGCACAAAGGTGGCATCGTGGCCTCCTGAAGGGAAGCTGAAATTACAATCATTTCCCTTCACTTCCCTCCCTGGTGGACTCAGCTGTTCTGGATGGCTTTCTGACTTCCAGTGACATTTGAGCAAAACCCATTTCCACATCGGGCTTCAAAACGCGCTCAAACTTTTCTTCTTTGTGGGGAAAGACACAAACACCAGCTTGTCTCTTTTCTTTCAAGGAACATGCAGTGCCAGAGGATGAAGCATCAGATTCTTTATTCTTGATCGGGGCTAATTAGTGTAATTAGAAAAGAAAATCCACCGGGTGTTTGAAACAGAAATTGCCTGAACTCAGAATCAGAGCAGCATTCTGTGAAGGAACTGGACTGCCTGATACAACCCCAGAAGTTTCCAAATGCTTCTTTGGACATCTCATTCTTGGGTGAGGAGGAAAGCCTGATGAAAGTAACTTTTCCAACTTGCTTTAAAAGCAGCAGAACCTAAATCTTTTAAGAACTTACAAAAAATCCCTACACTTGCAGAAAGCATGGTTCTGCC